TTATTCACAAACCAACGGCAGTTTCTCCGAATCATAACACAATTCTGTACTGGTCGCCAGCAAATCATCAATTTTACTATACAGAACAGGACTGCAAAATGTTATATTTTTTGCAAAGAATTTTTTGGTCCCTGTCTAATTTACTGTGCTGTAGTTTTAGTTTCAAATTCTAAGCCAGAACACCATATATTCTTTTAAGTAAGACCACACATATCTTTCTTTTTTCTTCACATTGCTGGGCAACACAAATTTCACAATCCACAAACTCGGTACTTTCCTTCACATATTACATGCCTTGGGTAAAGAATTTAATAAATTATAAGCAAAACAAAGAAGTAAAAGCAAGTGCTAGTTGCCAATTTACTATTTATTCTTCATAACATTCACCATAGTGAATTAACCATCCACAAACTTGGCATGTCATGGAAAATCAAGTCGTAACAAAATCAGACTCAGGTATCATCAACCTGTGAATGAAAGACAAAACTCGGGAAGGTAGTTGTAATGTCCCTGTTAATAAAAAATAGAATAATTAGCAGGATAATTGCATAAAGTCATAATAATTCACAGAGTCCAGGTAAGAATGGCTATAGAAGCAACAATATAGCAGGAACTAATCTTCTAACACAAAAGCATGCATGATGAAGTTCAGACCAGAAAAACCACATCAACAAGTATAGCTCAAACCAGAATTTCGTAAATGAATTGTATTTATGTGGAGTATCCACACAATGAAAATCTTCTATGTTGGTTTGTTACTTTTAGCCTTTATTTTACATACATATAGACCTAGTTTATCTATATGTGCTCGATAAATTTAGTTGACAGACAACAAATAAGCATTGTGGTGGTTCAAACTCAGCTATAAACCAAAATATATATGCATGTCTTAAATATAGCCGTAACAGAAATATGTAAAACCCATAAATAACAGCTTTCTGAACTAAAGCCAATCAGCTAATGGTTCTATTCTGCAGGATATAAGAAAATTGATAAAACGAACTTTATTTTTATCAAGTTCAAAATGAAAAGATGGTAGTCATGCAAGTTTATATGATTGTCTCACATATTTATATGCATGTTTTTGTTTAAAATGAAGAGGTCTGTACAATTTAATTTAATGGTAAATCCAAAATATAATGTGTATAAGATCAAATGTAAATGGCTCAATCTTGCAAGTCAGAAGCATACTTAGAAACCAAATTATTCACCAAAAGGAGGACATTGTCTTCCTAGTCATAAACAATGAGTCAGAGCATAGCAAAGCAGTGTTACGAGTGGAGTTCTTCTTTGCCGATATGAGTTTTGTAAGGAAAGGAAGTAAGCCGTTGTGCTCATGTGAGTTCAGATAGGTAGCTAGTGACAGATAGGTAGCTCTCTGAGCACCTACATGATAAAGAAGACAAAAGGATTGATTGACCGACTTTCCTATTGGGAATACAACCGTATATGATAATGAACCACATCCCAAAAATTGTGAAACATATCTACATTTTGAGTGCTATCCGTAACTACCCTCCCATTCAATCTCTAGCCTGCAAGTTTCCTAATTCTGACCCAACAATGCATAGAAACACAGCATTCATTTAGCTTGTTTTAAAGCTCTATTTTTTAAAGTTTTTGAATGAGACATTGTCATGGATAATTCCAATAAATTGGTGTTTTTTATAAATTGCCAGCATTTTCTGACACTGTTATTTGTGGAATCCTATACTTTGGGACTTCCAATCCTTTATATGGCATCCAGTATATGATTAGCAAGACCTTCAGCTAAATTCAACAATGTTAATTAAACTAAGGTATAATAACTAAATACAAATAACAGAATGAGGAAAAAGAATGTCAAGTTATATCCTATTTTGGAATCAACAATGTCAAAAGTATAGAGACTGTTATGTTCAAAAGGCCTTTGCGACTGAACCACTACCCATAAATCAAATAGAATTTGAAAGAAAATAATCTAGAACCAATTATCAGAACAATATGAGAATGATAACAAGAGGCTACTAGATTGTTACTTGAGGTATTGAAGGGTCATGTTCTTCAACAAAGAAGGATGCCTCAAGACAAGACTGCGCCACTCTTCCTTATCAATTCTTCCATCATGTTTTGTATCAGCTTCCTCAAATGTCTGAGAACCAAAAGAGGGAAGTAACATATGTAGGTTAAAAAATAGCAATTATCCAACAAATTTATAAGTAGAAACATTTGATGCACAGAAATAATAATATATATGATGGACAGATATCATAATTAACTTCATAATCAGTAACCAATTTATTGATAGCTGATAGCAATGTACTGTCCATGTTGCATTGACAAAGAATAGTTTCTGACTTCCATCAACACTGATTTGAACTGGGGACAATACATAAATGCAAAGACAATTGTTCTAGTGACTAATATTAACCAGGGTTTGCCGTACCGAGCTGTACCACCCGGTACGGGCGGTACGTACCGGTCCGACAGATTTTCGGTACGCGGACCGACTGTTACCGTTCCGAGTACTGTAGCAGTTACTGTAGCACTACAACAGTACTGTAGCACTGTAGCAATGCTACAATACTCGGTACACCCAAGTGTACCGCTCGGTACACCTGGGTGTACCGCTCGGTACACCTGGGTGTACCGCTCGGTACACCTGGGTGTACCGTTCGGTATACCGTACCGTACCGGTACCGAGCCCAGATCGAAATACCGGTACGGTACGGTATTGCGAACCTTGATATTAATTATATTTCAGTCATAGCAACACCTTTCAATAATACTGCTAGTCATAAACATTTAATGCTTCAAACTTACTGCCATAACTAAGCTAGATATCTTCTCTTTGCAATTACTGACAGGCAGTAATTAACAATTGGTTTGGTTCAACATAACCACAGTTTCAGACATCATATTACCTCTTTACTCAAAGTCACAAAAGAAATGGTTAGTTGATCATTACATGCACTTACTACTATAGTTTTCTTCCTTCATTTAGTTGATTCTCTCTCATTTTGTAACTGGATAAAACTTCAGTCTAGGATTTTGAAACAGGCCAAGTTCCAACTATTTCAGATAAAAATGTCCTTTGGATCACAATGTTCAGCATCCTTTGATGATTGCTAGGCTATAATGTCCTCACTACTTCCAGTCAAATCGACCTTGGTTTTCTTCTCCTCTTGACTTACTCCTCAATGATGTTCATAATGATCAACTTCACAAATGTCAAAAAACAATTTGCTACACGCTATCCTTGACCAATGTAAAACCAATATAAAAGGTGATAATGCTTGGCCATCCATGTGATGCCCAGTAAAATTTGCCAACAAAAAGAAGATATTAAGGATGCCTAGTTGCCTAATTATATTATTGAGACCCATCTCTGGTCACATCCTCCAAGAATGTAGACCACCATGGTAGTTTTTTGAAAGGACCTACAGAATCTCATTCCATATCAGTCTGTATTTTCATCTGGCATTTCCCCAGGTACACACAATCTTAGAAAAGTAGCACTCATAATTAATATAAAACACTAAAACAACAGAAAAAAAAAAAAACTCCAACAGAGAAAACTCTTAGATTTGATATTTGAACTCCAAAGATTATCCTCCAAGCATGTAAACCACCATGGTAATTTTTTGAAAGGACTTACAGAATCTCATTCCATATCAGTCTACATTTTCATCTGGCATTTGCCCAGGTACATACAATCTTAGAAAAGTAGCAATCATAATTAACATAAAACACTAAAACATAAGCAAAAAAACAAGTCTATCAGACAAAACTCTCGGACTTGATATTTGAACTCCAATAAAGATTGTGGTGAACATGGAAAGAAAAATCTCAAACATAATCATGAAATTTTAATCTACAATATATTTGATGCAAAAAAGCAGAAAAATATAGGAAACATCATGACAGCCATTTTCTAGGGTCACAAAGACATCATGCATGTAACATCTAGAGGTTACATATCAAGACAAATACATGAAACATGATGGGATCACCTTATCAATGATACTCTCGATAACTTCATCTGACAAATTCATGCCTGACTCAGCAAGAGTAGCCACGACCATTTGCTTAACCTGGGAACCATAGGTACTTAATCATATTTCATGTCAAGTGAAACACTTCTGACCCAACTTAATAGTTGCTCAAATAAGCCACAAACGTTATTCTGAAGCAACAATTTTCTTGAGTTCCATATCACATGTATATTTCTTTACAGGACATATGCATCCTTATCATTGGAATACCTATTTTCATAGATACCCATAAAAAAAAGGAAAAAGATGTAATGTTCTTTAGGATGTACAAGGAAAAACACATTTACAAGGGTTTTCATGCAATGATAAACATTTTACAGAGCAAACAAACAAAATTAAATGGTCTTGGTACAATGATAAGGTTGCTAAACTGTGTCATGTCCCAGATACAGATCAAGAATCGAACGCTAAATGTTACATAATGGCTGATTGAGCAATTTACATCAGCTGGCTATGTCAAAAAAACAATTACACAGCAATTGCTTCTTCCCTTTCTTGGAACAAGTCATCATCTAAATCACCAGGAACTCCAGATTCTCTCATAGTTTACACAGAAATTGTTTCTTCCTTTTATTGAAACAATTTGTCTTCCAAATTACCCTTAACTCTGGATTCTCTAGTTATTCACAAGAAACTCAATGTGTTGAAAAATGTGAATAAATAGTGCAGAAAAAAAATGGTAGTATGTAATGCTGATATGGGATCTCTTGGTGTTACCATATATCAGAAAATATTGCCAGATCATGTTTAGTTCATGATCATCGTTCATGATAATTAGGTTAAGATTTCTATCATTTGCTTTTTCTTTTAGCTTACCCCCACAATCAAGCATGCAAATAATATACCCAATTTTATGTAATACTTTCAAATTACATTAAGTTTGCTGCTACAATAGCTTCCATACTAAAGATGTTAATGTATCTCACCTGTAGTGAAGGCAGACAATATGATCCATTTGAGAGGGTATACAAGGGAGAATTTGACATAAAGTATTATCATGTACTTGGTTAATGCAAGAATCACCACATAAATATAGTTAACAGAAACTATATCATTACACATGTTCATATAGGATATTTGGAGAATCTAGATCTTATTACACATAACAGAATAAAGTGAGCACAGGATCCTCATGATATACTATTTATTATAATAATTTAAACATTAAATACCTCTTGTCTTTCAATAAATCCTTGCTGCTTCAGATCATATAGTTGGAATGAGACTGCATTAAAGGAAAATGTTAGTTATCTTGTGTCCACAAAACAACATCAACACAGAACATGGCTGATAAAGCATATAGCTAGCATTAAACATACGAAGTAAGTAAAAAATGATAAGGAAAATGTGGAACAAAATACCAGAAGATCAGAGTAACTTGCTATTGACACCCAATCTACAATCTAAAGTAGTTGAGACAAGACCATCCCAACACTGAAAGAAAAACGAAAAGGGCAATACAATATCTAGCAATTTCCTGCCAACTAGTTGTTGATACTGTCATACGACCATCAAATATTACATCCGATTCTATATCAAAAGGCAATCCAGAATTGCAATGGCTCCACTATAGTATTTTAAACAGAAATCTAAGAAAACCTTTAGTCATTGTGATTAAATTTCCCAAACATTATGATGGTGTTAAAAATACTATTTAAACTGAGAGGGATCCACTGACAATTTAACAAGAAAATTAATGACACTGCTTACATGTGTGTGCTAGGACAAATTTAAGAAATAAAGTTTACTTAAAAGCTAAAAAACTATAGAAAAATGTATATCATTGTTTGAAATATATGCTCAAGCAAACATGGATTTAGCCACAAAAACCTCCTGGATACAGGAAGAAGCTAGAAGAAGGGCATAGGGCAAAGATAAAATATAGAAAAAAACTCATCCTGAAGACCATGGATTTAACAAGGGAAGAAGCTAATACTTCTGTTAAAGAGTGCTAAGGATGACAGTTTTTCTAGTCTAATTTGAAGTATAAAATTCTGAACCAGCAATGCACAAGCTAGGAGGGAAGCTACCAGAGACCCATGAATGGGCAGGTAGCACATATGAAATACCAAGATACCATCTAATAGAAATTTATTAAGGAAAAACCTGAGGATTCAAGCGACAAAATTCAACAAAATGATAAAGCATACACATGCTCCAAATTTAAAATTAAGCATAATCCATAAGATACAGAAACTTCAATCTTTTATTTGGGACCCAGTGGTATACTGATAGAACATAGTTTCCTCATAAAAAAGCTGCATTCAGATTAAAGAACAAGAAGTGTATTATCAACTTGCATTGCTTCAAATAAGATGCTATGTGGTACTGTGCTTTGTTTAAATTTCATATCCTTAAATAAATGACAATTAAACAAAATATTTTATGACGTGGAATCTATGTATGTTTAGAATCTGAGAAAACATTTATATGACGTATAGTACAAAATATACAACTTACACTCAATCTTATCATCGATTGGAGCATTCGGATGGAATACAGAAAGAGCACGAGCAAACTCTTCAAATCCCAAAATTCCATTGTGTTTTGTGTCAAACAAATCAAACACCTGTGTAAAATAAGCACAAAGTGTTGCATTGCACTTGTCTAAGTTACTTGTCTTGCTATTTCTGCATTTACGAAAAAAAAGATAGCACTAAAAATCCTATATGTGATTGAAAATGGAAACCCAAAAGAACCAACTTCTTATTATAATTTACAGTTGATATTAAACCATGATCAATGGTTTCTATTCTTTAAATGCTCCAAAATTTTAAAAGATGAATTCCTCTGAGAAGGATGAAAATAAATACGGTAATGAACTTATAATTGCTCCAAACTTGTGAGTTTCGATGTAAGAACACAAGTAACCATTCATCAAAAACCAGGGACCAGGAATGCATGAGCTGCTGTCCATACACGAATATTTAGGTTACATATCAAGGTATATGAAACAAGCATTATGTAATGCACTCACAAATAACACACCTAGAAAGGCTTCCTCAGTAGAATACAGTAACTACAGACCAAGAAATAGGTTATGCTGAAAGCGAGGCCAATTTTGTAACAAAGGAAAATTACTGTTGTTCGAGGCAGAGCAAAACCCAATGAATGAGTTCATCTTACGGAGCTCTAGTGAAAGATGATTGAGAAAGGGAAGAGTCATGTGAGAGAAAGAACCGATTAACTAAGAAAAAATGTAGGGTCAGTAAACTATGGACTTTCTGATGCATATCAACATTGGATATATCCAAAGAAATATCTCAAACAACACAGTTTCGTAAGGCATACCCGATCAGCAAATAAGCTCTCCTTCTTGTTAGTCTTGAACAAAGCCAATTGAAACTCTTCCTGAAGCATAATTGTTAAAGCAATCAGTCATTGTATGATAGAATCACTGCATTTATGTCATCATACTTTAACAAACTAAAACAGATATGAAATGCTTACACCCTTTAGAACAGGACAGCAGTAAAATCTTTATAACTTCAAAAATATAACAAATAAGAGAAAGATAAATATAAGGCACAATATCTGCAAAAAGATTAAAGAATAATGAAAAATACACTGCAGGTTCAAACAGTAATCATGCTTAAAATGGAATGTAGCACATTTTTTTCTAAAAATATAATACACTATTGGATCTCAAAAACTCCAAGCTGAAACTTATTGCAGGATAAATGTATATGGTCACAAATAACAGTTAAGTTTCAAACCTTGTTGATCAAGCCGTCATCAATTACAGCACTGCTGATCTTTTTGAATAGCTCGTATAGTGCTTCTATCTCACTTACACTAACTGCAAACAAAATTATCGCAGACTTAGTCACCAATGCAAACTATACAGCTATCAAAGGTAAGATCCAAGAAAAGTGAAAA